GGAAAATAATGCAGCCACCATCAGACTTTGCAGCAAAGAAGACAGTATATCATTTTACAGATGTGTTATGTAAATAGAATTGTTAATTTATTATAATCTGGGAGTATTAAGTCACTGAACCTTTTTTTGGCATTTCTGTGAATCACCAGGTAGCCAGTTATTGTTCACATTCACTGTGTGTTAATATTGATAATACATTATTTGAAAGCTCTAAGATTCAAATTTTGAAAACTGTTCAATGATAGCAAAGCTCTGGCAATAGCATTCCCTTCATTTGTTTCAGGAGTTCACATAACATTATTTTACGTGTCAATCCCTGCATTATGTTACAATGAGGCAAAAACATGTTACATCATGTCAACTCCAGTACTCTTCTCATGGGAAGGGTTCAGTAGACAACTTGTACACGTTTAAAGAATCATTGATGGATTCTCATATGTTTGCTATATCATTCATGTCTATTGATTTTAACTATCAATGTAAAATCATAAACATGTTAGCACACTTAAATTACGTAATATTTGATGCGTCTGTTTTAATCTAGAAGACATTTTTTTTAGAGCTCTTCTTCAATATGACGCTACAACATTTCTGTGAGCCACCTGGGAACATTTTAGAGGCATTTATCAATCAGAATGTGTGAATATGATTTTTTTTTTTGATGATTATCAGAGATTTGTATATAATTTTATATGAAATATATAGTTTAGTCATGAAAGAGATGGCGTAGGCTGATGGGTTGTTAACGTAACTGATGACATTCAGAGAGTTAAACGACTTGGCACAAGCTGATTGGTTCATGCTGCATATGCAGCCAATGAGCTTACTGCCTTGCATTTATATGGCTGGCTAGCATTCACTTGAGATTTCTGCAGCACGCTTTCAGAGTTTCTCTCAGCAGCAGTATGTCTTAAATACTCACGGCAACGTATCACCGAATGCATTGGCAGTAGCAAGTTCCTGTACTTGCTTGCAGCAGCAGCAATAATCTACAATTACAGCAATAACCAACAGCAGCTGCAATTCAGCAGCAGCAGCGTAGCAGATCTGTTCCGCCAAGACCAAATACATTAACATTAACATAACAGGACTTCTCAGGGCAGGCAGTGCTAATAGAGAGCGCCTGCAGGTCCCCTATTCACTTTACTGATACCAGTGCTACAAGCAGAGCAGTCTTCAGCGATAGCGACCGAATGTTTGCAGACTGTAGTGGCTCGAAAGCGGGGCCCTTCAGGGCCCTCAGCACAGTGGGCAGATCCCATGAAGGGATGGTGGGGGACGAGGCGGATTCAGCCTCCTAGCACCCCTCAGGAAGCGGATGACCGTGCTGTTTCTGCCCACCAGTTGGCCCTCAATAGGGGCATGAGAGGCCGATATAGCCTCCACATAGACTTTGAGCGTGGATGGGGAACGTCTCTTATCCAGCAGCTCTTGCAGAAATGACAACACCTCTGTCAAATCAGAAGTATGAGGGTCTTTGCCGCGGTTTAGACACCAAGTGGAAAAAAAGACCCCTTTAAGGCGTAGAGGTGTCTCGTAGATGGAGCTCTAGCCTCCGAAATTGTGTTTAAGATTCGCTCTGGGAGGCTCGAAGGCTCCCGTCGAGCGGCCAGAGGTGCAGGGCCCATAGGTCGGGCCGAGGATGCCATATTGTTTAACATTCTGATGGCAGCTGGATAGAACATGTTCCTCAGTCTGGATTCCTTACACTTACACTGTACACTGTACCTCTTGCCTGAGGGCAGAAGTGTGAACAGTTTGTGTTGGGAGTGAGTGGAGTCTTTAACAATGGAAGTGGCTCTTTAATGGACTCTGCAGTGGTAGATGCTCTGTAGGGAAGGTAGTGGTATTCTAATGATCCTCACAGCCATCTTTACCACTCTCTGCAGGTGCTTATGGTGCTACCATACCAAACTGTGATGCAGCTGGATAAGATGCTCTCGATGACGCTGCTGTAAAAACGGCTGAGGATCTTTGGTGACATGCCGAATTTCCTCAGCATTCTGAGGAAGTACAGCCGCTGTTGTGCTTTCTTGGCCAGCTGGGTGGTGTTGTGTGACCATGAGAGGTCATCATTGATGTGGACACCTAGAAATTTTAAACAGTTCACTCTCTCCACCTCAGCGGGCAAAAAGTTCTCCTCTCGTTCCTCATGTCCACAATAATTTTTTTGGTATATTGATGTGTGAATCGCATGACAAATCAGATGATATTTGAACTCCAAGCTGTTTAAAAGTGGAGACTCTACTGATTACATGTCCCAAAATTACTGGAGAAGGAGGAGAGGGGATGTTACCATCTTTCCTGGCACTAATTACAATGTCCATTGTAGTGAATTTGCTTTAGCCAACCTAGGGAGTTGAAATAGAGTAGTGATGGGTACTCACGTCACCAATGAAGTTATGATTTTTGGATCACGTGTCACTTAAGGTGCGGTGATGAGTACATCAGATAAGAAAGTTTAGTGGGATATCTAACTTGCAGAACCTCTTACTGTATTATCAACAAGAAGACACATGTGTACTAATAATACTAAATGAATACCATAAATGAAAAACAATAAGATGCATAAAATACAAGTGAGTTATGTTATCTTATGAAAAGATAAACTGAAACTAATAAGGCGAAGAACCTTATTATGTCTCAAGAGAAATATCAGCTATATAACATCAAATGTAAATTATAATATGCAATAATGCCACAGTCTCTGGAAGAGGTTTGGATAAGTGATATTTTCGTTCCCTGGTCGAGTGAGCTGAGTTTGTGTAAGATGTTGCACTACACATCGCTGTCACTGAGAATACTTATTTGTCTGAATAAGTATAAGATGGGTGTGTTGTAGTTTGCATCAGTTTTAAGGTTAGAAAACATAGTTATGAATGGATTTGGATAGATCAGTGTGAACTCTCTTTGTTTCACCCACTGCTGCTGGATCCTGGAGGTCCTAAGGAATTTATATGGTGGTCACAGGCCAAACCTTAGGAATCAGTCTCTATGTGGGTGAAGGGCAGAAACTGCATTTTGACCAGTGAGAAGTCCTGTCCTTCCCGGGCTTGGTACCAGAGGTCTGTCTTCTTTCCCTCTCAAGAGGTGTCTGGCTGCTGTCCTAGTATCTTTATCTGATGGTGCTGGACAGTTTACTTATGTTAGTCCACCAAGATCCAATCAAAATGTAGCAAACCTGTGTCCACTATTGTGGTCAGAGAGGGGCCCCACCATACACTGGGCCCTGGAATGTGCTGTTCACTACACCATGGTCTTAGCTACATTCATTGCCTATGAAAATTCCTGTCCCCATTCTGCAACTGAATCCAAGGCGTTCTGGATCCCATTAGAAGTTCAGTGATTGTTAGATCATCAGCATATTTCACAGGAATTTCAGAAGGAGGCAGATGCAAATCCAAGCTGTTTACAGATGGCAAAAAAGCAGAGGGAATAAAAGTCCCCCTGGAATTGGATAAATCCCTCGTCTTGCCCATTAATTGTTTGATTTTAGAAATGATGCAATGGACAAGTTTAAATATCATTTCAAAACAGAGATTTGTCATTTATGAGATGCTACATACAGTTTGGTACCAGCAATCTTATAACTACCAAAGTCTTAAAAATCACTCATCTTGCCCATTTATTTTTTATTTTAACAGCTTACACAACAATGACACAATGGACATCATGGTTTTCCCAGGTTCAAATATAATTTAAAAAAAGAGAGGCAACAGAATTTCGGAAAGCATTTAAGAAACTGTGTAAAAGCTGTGTCTTGTGAAATTAAAAGATCAGATTGCTCAGGGGAATGTAAGAACTGACTGCTATTAATATAAGAAGCTTGTGACCATTCTGTGACGTACAAGTTTTGGCATGGGGAAAACATTCTTGCCTGTTTACCAGCAGTCACAATGAAAAAAATAAAAATTAAAGATGCAACACTAACAACAGTTTACCAACCATATGAAGAATAGCTGTGTAGGATTCCACATGGAAACAATGGACAGATTATAATGCGTTAAATCATAAGCACATCAGATGTCGATTTTTTCAGTGGAGGACATTTACTAAATCTTAGCTCTACTTTGGTTTGAGACATGCATTACGAGTTATGAGGAACTACATTTGCTGGAAAGTCCAGTTACATAGTTTCCTCATGTTTTTGCTTATGAACTGGAAATGTAACGTGATTAGTAACATAGCACACCTTCCTCATCACACCTTTTCTTTCTAAAGACAATTTAGACTGCTGTCTTCCCAGCCTGGTACCAATGTATTTATTTATTTATTTCTATTTTTTAAATATATGTCAGTATACATACGGTGTATATGTATTTGTTGCTTTTTAAGGATGAGTAGTCCAAGAGGAATGATATCCAGGCATATCTCTCTTCTTATCATGTACTTTAATTTCACCCAATGCTAACCCAATACCCCCATCTATAACCTTGAGAAAATCCCACAATTTAATTACTTTATCAGGCAAAAGAATTAGCCAATTGTCCTGCGTTATAGCTGGCTAATGTCTCATCATTTAGTGGGTACAGTATTTGACTGTGTCTGTAAAGATTCTCAGATTATCCAGGTCACATCAGAATGTCTAGTTCAGTTATTGCAATGTCTAAAGCAACAAGTCCTACTGACAAAAATATATATATTAGACACATACTTGGCTATAAACTATTGTAGACACATTGGATATAAAATTTTATTTTAGGGGGAAAAAAGTTATTTACAAAAAATTTCCTTTAGTCAAAGTACATATTTCCACATGAATATAGTTTTACTAGTGATGGCACACAGTGTTAAAAGATGTAAAAACAAATTTTTTCAGCCATGATTTTTCAGTTTGCCATAATTGGTTGAACTGTCATCATGTACCATCACGTACATACCAGGAAACAAATCTATTTATTTTGGCATTGTTGTTCCTCGAGTTTGTCAACAAACTCTCATTGGTTGGTTCTTCAAATGAAAAAAACCTTTCTCACTTTAAATATCAGTTCACCTGTCTGCTGGAATTTTTTAGAGGTGACACGAACCTACTATAAGGATTAACTTGGATTGCCTTTTGTGGTGCAATATTTAAAGAGTAAGTAGAATTTTTTTTTCAATTGTTCTGTATCCAATCAATTTGCTATAAACTGTTCAAAAAATTTATCTAACTTTAACATGACAAAGATTATGTAACAAGTGTGTGCTTTTTTGTAAATCATAATGCAAACTTTGTGTGGAATATATTACCATGTTTTATTAAATCTGTAAATGCTTGGTCAATCTAACTGTATTTGTTTGTTTTTTATGCAGCTCTTGATACTTTTTGACATTTTTATATCAAGTGTACCACCCATGTGGATTTTTAAACAGATTGTATTCTGTTATATTATAAAATGTGTTTGATTTTTGAACTTTGCTACATTATACATATACGCTTCATTTTCATTTTTAGGCATACTGCTAAAAGGACATAGCAATGGAGTGGAGGATTATAGTACCTGTTCTGTGTCTAATTGGTAAGAACCAAGTAGTGATGCTTGTTCTAAATAATTAGTGACAGTTATTGTTCATCATTGCATTTAAATTACAAAATGACTTCATGGTTAGAAACTATATGTTTAAAATAAAATCATAATAACAACAAGAAAGGATAGTGAAAAAGAAAGTGACAAACATTCTAATCATACTTTTCCAATAAGTGATTTTCACAATAATCCAGCTGTGATAGCTGTATTATCATAATTACAAAACTAGCAGTTCATCGTTAATGTCCAAAATCAAAGTAATAATAATAATTATCATTTTATTTTGGTTTGCTACCATGCCTCATTTTCCTAATTTCACCTTTAACAGGAATCCTACATGTGCGAGGAAATGCTGCTCAGTCCAACAGTAACACCAGCACCATTAACCACAACATCATCACTGGTCAGTGTGTGTTTACAGATTTATTTTATTTTGATCATATTTTACTGTTGTTAAATCAGGCCTCAAAGGCACATTAATTATGAAACACTTTTGTTGATCTGTGTTCCATTTTACTTTTACCCAAAATAAAAGAAGGAACCACAAATTCAACTGCAAATGCGAATCAAACTGAATCTACAAATCCAAATGCAACTGTGAGTCAAACTGCATCTTCAAATGCAACTGCAACTGCAACTGTGAGTCAAACTGCATCTTCAAATGCAACTGCAACTGCAACTGCGAGTCAAACTGCATCTTCAAATACAAATGCAACTACAAATCCATCTGCAACTGCAACAATCCCTACACCTGCTAACACTGCATCACTTAATTTGGTGTTCAAACTTACTCAAACCTTCAAGGCCGTCTTCTCTGATCTGAATAATCCTGAGACCAAACAGCTGGCAGATGAGATCACCAATGCGGTAATATTTTTCTCCAATGAGGCATCGTTATTGATTGCAGTAGCAGTAGATACTGATAATTCTGTGTATTGGCAACATTAAAAATAAATATAACTGGTCATATATGTTTTTTCGTGCTGTATAACTAGCTAAATGCTTACTTTTTAGTCTACCTGAACTAAATGTCGGTTTTAAAACTACATTTCTTGCAGGAAAATTGTATCTGAAAAATAGAAATCATGTTTCAATATATGTATATAATGAATAATATATAATGTATGTAAATAACATGTTTTTATGATTATTTATCTATCTTTTACAGTTTACTCCAGTTTACCGGAAACGGTTTGCAAACTTCCGTCGCATGTTTATTCGAAAATTCAGGTAAAACAGTACATTCACTTATGGTAATTCACAAACACCCTGTTTAAATTTCATCAAATTAGGTGGATTCATGCATGATTTAATTTGATCAGTTGATTGCTTTCTCAGCTGATTGTTTGGTTAATCAATTTGTTAATCAAGTGACCATTTGATTGTTCCATTTAGCCATTCAGTTGTTTGTTGGTTAATTATGCCTGACTGTGTTTCAATATGCTTGTTCCCCACAGTGCGGGCTCAGTTGTGACGGATTCTGTGCTTGAGTTTGACAACACAAACGCTAGTCCTAATCTGACAGAAGTGAAAAACACATTTGTTGATGCAATTACAGCTGGAGGTTTCAACTTTACAGTTGATAACACATCCATCAGTGTTTCCGATATCACAACAACCAATGGTCAGTGTGTATTCAAAGATGTATTTTCTTTCCTATTAGACACTTTTTTATTAGACACACACACACACACACACACACACACAAATTGTGGGAGATTCATTGCAAGCTTGATATAGCTATTGAGTATTATTGAATTGTTTACCGTTGTCTCTTAATTCTGCCCTACAAATCAACAAATTTCACAATTTCAGCAACGACTCAAGCTACGACAATCGTCTCTACGACAGCAGGCTTTAATCTTTCTGACTATAATGTGACCTTTACAATGAATGAAACCTTCAGCAGTGAACTATCAAATATCAGCTCTTCTCGAGCCGTAGCTCTGGCAAAGAACATCACTGCTCAGGTAATTAATTTTTTTCTTTGATTAATGGTAATACTTTAGTTGGAAAAAGATTTGAACATTTGTCTGGTTCACCATCATAAAATTTAAATCTCTCCTGTTTTATTCATTTATTATAGTTTGATGGCGTTTTCAAGAAACTTTTTACAAACTTTGTTCGCTCGCTCATTTGGCGGTTCAGGTAAAGTCATAAAATTATTATCATTAAAAATAACAATCAATGCTCTGTTTAAAGCTCTGTCTGTTGCGTCATCACATATTTATTTTTCTATGTGTTTATTTATCAGCTGATTAATAATTTATTTGAGTGGTTTAATGGTTAGTTGCTTAGAAAGTCAACAGACCAGTAATTGCATTGCAGTTTTTCATTTATTCCCTATTTTAACATTATTTCCTCTCAGGAATGGCTCCATTATTGTAGATGCTCTATTGGGATTTGACAAAACTGGCTCAAGTCCTACTGCGGCAGAGGTGGTTAAAGTCATAGTTGCCAGTGCTAAAAATGGGACATTCACATTCACAGTTAATTCACTATCTGTTACAGACCCATCAGGAGTCACTGGTCAGTATACATTTATATATATAAGTTTTCTTGTAATGATTTATAACTTTTTTTTTTAAAGTTTGATGGGTTCTGCCGCTCTAATTATTTTACATAATAAATAATGCATTGACAACATCCGAAAAGACATTGTTTAATGGCCGTAATAGATGTGTCAATGATTAATGTACATTTAATTTCTTTTTATTACTACAGCTAACAGGTCTCCGGTCCTGGCTAGTATGATGACGGCTTTGTGGATGACCCTAGCATCACTCGTGGTGTCAGCTGTGATGCACTAAACACACAAAATCATGTCAACACAAAATGAACGTGGCATCTCTGATCTTTTCACATTCAGAATCAGCAAGTCACAAAGCAAAACAAGCCAAGTTATGATCTAGCTGTAACATTTACTAGTCTTTCTTGCCACATATAGAGCCATAGTGATACGTATGGTATGGTATGGTATTTTGGTTTCTTTGGTTTACAAAAAGCACATTGTTTATGTGTACACTGAGCGGGAGAAAGAATGAGGATTGGTTTATTGGAACCAAATCTGAACATTTCTTTATGACACAGGAATGGCACAAGTGAAAGTTACCTATAGATCTTATATGTTGTAATTCAAAATTGAGATGGTTTTGCTCTTCTGAAAAAGGATTGAACAATAAAATATATATCTTTACCAATCTATTAATTAGATTCTGAAGATGTGAAATCTATGTATTTAATCTTTAAGTAAATTAAAAATGTTCTGATAAATGCTCTGTATTCTGTGTTTTATGAAGTACTTATGTTTAATAAAATGAAGGTGGAATCCTGTTCCATTTGTAAATTCAGTGCTGCAAAAACTTTACAAATAAAGACTGTATCTAGATTAATCCACTTTTTGACTTGACTTTTCTTAAAAATTACTTTTAGAAAACATCAGATCACACAAAATTGCAGGGAGATGTGGGCAAGCTGTCAAGTTCAATATAACACAAAGCATGAATAATGTAGTGGATGGTTCAATCACGTTTCTTTTGTGACTATCCCAAATAAACAATGGCACACACAAAGTTAGGTGTCAATATGCCAAAGCATTGCAGAGATGCAGCCTAAAGTGTCATTTTGGCATCATGCCTCAAATTCGTTGCTGTGGTATGCGAAAACAGTTTTGTCTATCAACACAAAATCCATAACTTTTTGTCTGCATGGTCTGAAGATGATATGATTCGATTTGGGTGAAAATCGGACTAACAGTCTAGGAGGAGTTAGAAAAAGTAGGTTTTTAAAGAAAATCAAAATGGCGGAAGTTTGGCTGACTATGGCAACATTGGTATCACTGTTCTCAGCATGACCCAATGAATCTATTAATATCAGTCTCATTACAATCGGTCTTTGTCAGGTGACGTCACACTCACGAGAATCGAAGTGCATTTTGGGTATTGCCTCCATTTGTAGGGTATCAAAGCCGAGGTGTTCTGTAGTTGGAGAATTGTCTTTTTCATTTGATTTAAAATGGTACGTTCTTGTTGTGTTAAAGTCTGCAATAGTGAATTACATGATAGAAAAGGTCAAAAACTCACCACAAAGAAAGATATTTTAGGTCTCGCACTTGAAAAAAAGACTAAACAACAAGAGGCGTCGCCACGTCAGATGGCCTGGGTTGCAGCGGTGATATGCAAAATCATCATATTTGCCAACATATCTCCAGTTATGTTTGTTTACCCTCGACATTTTCATAAAGGTAAGAGATTTTTTTAGATGTGCTTATTTTCTGTTTTCTGAAGTAGCCAACATTATATTCACATGTTATTTAGGGTCAATGCTATTAAACAGACAACCAGGGAGCAGGTGAGCAGAAACGGGTCATGTACCATGAAACGTTTTGCAATCATTTTATGCATAATTGTAAAGGCTTATTTTATTTTATTTCACCAACGTTACTGAAATTAAATATTGTTTTGGGGGGGTTTGTACTTAAATGTAATTTAAACTGAATACTTCACTAAAATACATTTCTAATGTTTCTAATTTTTATTTCTTACAATTTTAAAAAGTACTGACTACATTTTTGTACATTTTCATTTCATATAGTTAGGCTAGGTGTGACTAAACAGTAAGTGGGAGCAGTTAAGAAAAAAACATCGTTCAGTCAGCTGAGACGATGACCCACCAGGCTGGAGGAGATGGTCGGCTTCACAGGACACCACTCAGTGTCACTAACTGAATGTAACTTACTTGTGTGTGCGCAGAAGAAAACTGACTGCTGTGGCGTAAACTCAGGATGTCTGATAGTTTTTCAGTGATCTTAAAGTAAAGCATTATACAGGTATGCTAAACGTGGGAACCTTTATTACATGGGTTCTCAACTCTGGCCCTTGAGGTCCACTTTACTGCAGAGTTGAGATCCGACGCTAATAAAATACACCTGCACAGGCTAACCAAGATCTTCACGATTACTAGAAAGTTACAGGCAGGTGAGTTTGATTGAGGTTGGAGCTAAATTCTATAGGAAGTGGACTCTGAGGGCTAAAGTTGAGAATCCCTGCCATGAAGGTTTTTATTGCCTTGTGCTGCTTTTCATGTCAGAAATAAGAAAAATTCTCACTTAATTTTAAATACTTATGTTAACCTTATGCACCTCAGATTGGATCTGCCTGCACAAACACTGTTTTAGACAACTGTGACAGGCACAAAATTATGCCTCACTAGTTTGTGGAGTCCTTTGGACACAGAATAACAATGATAGACTGTTTTGAGATTTCCACAGAGAAACCATTCAGTGTGAAAGTGTGTGTCAAAATGTCTTCTACCTAGGAGCACTATTTAGTATTTGATAGATCGTCTAGCACTTCTAAGAATCCATGCAGAAAGGGTCATCAGAAATGTTTGGCAGAAGCATCAAATCATCTTATTATTATTATTATTAATTTATTCAGCTTTCTTTGTAGTGCTTGCACTGTGTCCACTTAAGAGAATAGTGTGTTGATGATTCATCATGCTTGTCACATCTTCTGTTATGCATTTTTAAACTGATTTTTAACACTGTGTCGCATTAATAATAAAGTATGTATAATGCCATTTTCATAAATGTGTTTTTGATTGTCTCCTTGTTATTAGTACTTCTCAGTACTTGTTATCAGCCAAATGAAGTACGGAAAATTGTGAACAAACAGGGTAAGGTTTAATGGTAGAGACTCACATGATGTAATTACTTACAATTGTGCAAATCAATGGTAGACAATAACAAAATAAGTGTATAAGTAAATAAAATAAGTTTTTATACTGTAAACAAGATAATCATATCCAACGAAGTTGGAGGCAGCGATGCCGGTGGCACTCAACTTTTTGCGTCAGGTAAGGTTAGTACGGATCAGTGTTCATTGTTAATCATCATCAGTGACAAATTACATAAATTACAGTTCCTAAAAAAATTTGCTGAGATTATCTGTATATTTGTGGTACCGTATCCGCTTGGTTTGCAGCTGTTTCTCCAGTATGACGATGTAATCCGTCTTTACTGCACGGCTCTGTACACTTTTAGTTCACTGCTCAATGCAACGATACCTTCTAAATGGCGCCTCGGTGACGTCACACATAATAAACGCACGTGACTGACAAAGACCGATAAGCAAAATTCACAATTCAATTCAATTCAATCTTTATTACAGACTCAAGGTCCAAATAAAAAAAAACAAGACAATTGGACAACATATACAACCCACAGCATCTACCACACACAATACAAAGTTACAAAATACAACAATACCAATGTCTCCACAGCTTTGACTGATACCGTGTAGTACTAACCCTTATATTTGATAGACCCACAATAATCTCATTTTTTGAAGCATTTAGCCGGCAGATAAATCTATACATAAGATTTCAATAGCCTCATCGGCGGTCATGTGTTCAGTGATGAAATGTCCAACGTATTTTACTTTAGCACAGACAGTGAGACTCCTATTAGACAACTTGAAAACTGGAAATATTATACTTTTATCCTCCTTAGTTCTGCAAATTATAACCACACTCTTATCAGGATTATATAAAATATCATGTTCAAGACCATAAACAGAACACATTCAGTTGTTACTGTATCATATAAGATACTCATACCCCTCAGCGAGGCATGTGCATCTGCTGTACTAATACAATGGTCCAACCATGATGTTGTTTCAAGCCTCACTAACATATGTATAGCTATCTACAGGCAAACACACTTCACTTGACAAAATGAACAATATGACTGGAAAATAATGAATTTCTGTCTGAGATGTCCGCATTCATGTCCCCAATGACATACACACTAGAAATAGTAGAACTTTCAATAAAAGAACTGATAAAAGCTAGTCTATATAAATACTCATCTTCATTATGATGCCATTCGTAAGGTGTATACACATTTAGAATAATACAATTCTTATCTTGATAAGTAATCTGAATTGCAATACACCAATTAACATCCAATCTAATTACCTTCACCAGTGGGTCTAACTTTTTTTTTCCACAGTATGGCTACACCCCCAGATATCCTACCTTTGATTAAATCCATACCAAGATCTACTGTGGATTCACCAGCACCATGAAAATTATCATTAAGAGAATTCAATTTATCCAGATCTTGCATTGCTAAAAATGTCTCTTGCAAGCATAAAATATCACAGTTCTCCAACAGACTGTCCACAACCATACGGCGGGCTTTATCCCCAACACTCTGGCCCACACGTAGACCACGACAGTTGTATGACACAACCCGAATGTCCATGGGGGGCACCGACACTTGTTTATTCTACCCGAAGGCGCACACTTTCCCCAGCAACTAGTGTAGAATTTGACCCGCTGACTCCCACCCTACGCGGCTCATAATAGCGTCTAACAAAAGCCCCTTCGGGCCAGAGCTGCGGGTCATACATTTCACTGATTTCATTACATTCAGCAGATACTTTAAATGAACTGTATCTGCTTTGTACAGTTTCAATCTTCTGACAAGCTACATCGCGTCCAAGTTTTTCTTTCAGGTACTCAGACCAAGTCAAGGCATCTAAGTCAGGTGTAAATTTGGAGGCAAAAACACTCACCAGTTTGGTCTTAACCATTCTGATGTTGCCCACAGCTCCAGTACCAACAACAGACATGACATTACCTGACTTCTTTTTCTGCCTGGGAATGACAGCAGGCGATCTTGTTTTAGAATCAGCATTCACAAAACCTTGTCGATGACCTTTTTTCACCACGCGACTCCACTTCGGAGAATCTGAGGAAGATGTTAAACCTGTAGCTCCCTCCATTGTCACAGGACTTTCCACTCTCTGTGCATTCAAAGATAAGGACCCCACCATCACAGCTCCTTCGCCAATGACCGTAGCCAAAGTTTCCACTGATGCGGCCCCGAGATCCGTGTAGCTCTCGCATCATATCCGTCGATTGCTCCACAGCACACACTCTTCGATTAATATCCACTGTGATAGCTCGTAGATCTTCACCCACATTAACCTGTAGTTGCAGTGCGTGTTTCATAGAACAAAGCTCAACACTCAGCTGCTCCATTCTTCCAAGCAAACTTGAAACATCAACGCTATCGAAGGACACTGGCGGCAGCTCATCCAAATAATGTGAAACAAATCTGGGGATGTCTTCGCCACATTCATTCATCACTTTAAGACAGCTTTTTATGTTATTAACGTCTTTCTGTGGCCCTTTATTAGAAACATTCCGTTGTGTTGTAGGACATAATTCAAACAGTACCTTCTTTATAGCCTCAATCCAATCAGAATCAAACGTCTTTGCAGCCAACAGGACAATTTCATCCTGACTTAGAGTCTTAATTTTAACAACAAGAAAATTAAGGAATTCATCCTCAACAAATACTATTCTCAGTCAATGGCAATTT